GAAACTCCTGAGTTGAAAGACATACCGACAGTATGTGGTTTTCCTGACGTATTTCCTGACGAACTTCCTGGTATACCATCTTCCAGAGAAGTAGAATTTTCCATCGATCTTGTTCCTGGAACAGGACCGATATCTGCAACTCCCTATCGCATGGCTCCTGCTGAAATGAAAGAGTTGAAGGCTCAACTACAAGAACTACTCGATAAAGGATTCATACGTCCGAGTGTTTCCCCTTGGGGAGCACCCGTCCTGTTTGTCAAAAAGAAAGATGGCTCGATGAGACTCTGCATCGATTACCATCAATTGAACAAAGTCACAATCAAAAATCGATATCCTTTACCTCGTATCGATGACTTATTTGATCAGCTTAGAGGATCCACTGTATTTTCTAAGATTGACTTACGGTCAGGATACCATCAAATCCCTGTAAAGAAAGAGGACATCCCAAAGACTACGTTCCGTACCCGTTATGGTCATTATGAGTTTACGGTAATGCCCTTTGGTTTGACCAATGCTCCAGCAGTATTCATGGATCTCATGAATAGTGTATTCTGACCTTATCTTGATCAATTCGTGGTTGTATTCATCGATGATATTCTTGTCTATTCGAAGAATCGAGAAGACCATGTGAAACATTTGGAGATAGTACTCAGCATACTACGGGAACATAAACTATATGCCAAACTGTCAAAGTGTGAATTTTGGCTTAATGAAGTTACGTTTTTGGGACATGTGATTTCTCAAGAAGGTGTTAAGGTAGACCCCAGTAAAATATCTGCCATCACCAAGTGGAAGGTTCCAAGGAATGTTCGTGAAGTGAGAAGCTTTCTTGGATTAGCTGGATACTATCGACGATTCGTTGAAGGCTTTTCCTCGATCGCAACTCCACTTAACAAACTTCTGAGAAAAGATGTGAAATTTGTATGGACCGATGCATGTCAGCAAAGCTTTGAGAAACTAAAGAAATGTCTGACAGAAGCACCTGTGCTAACCCAACCAGTACCAGGTGTAGACTACACAATCTTTAGTGACGCATCTCATAATGGCTTGGGATGTGTACTCATGCAAGACGGAAAAGTCGTGGCATACACATCAAGACAGTTGAAACCTCACGAATGTAACTATCCGACTCACGATCTTGAGTTAGCAGCAGTTGTATTTGCTTTGAAAATATGGCGTCATTATCTCTTTGGAGAGACGACATATATTCACACAGACCACAAAAGTCTAAAATACCTGCTAACTCAAAAAGAATTGAACCTGAGACAGAGAAGATGGTTGGAATTGATCAAAGACTACGACTGCTACATTGACTATCACCCTGGCAAGGCTAACGTAGTTGCTGACGCATTGAGCCGAAAGATGATAGCCGAACTCCGAGTTCAACCTACTCTTGAGAACGAAATTCATGCTGCACAAAAACGTGATGACTACTGTTTGAAGACTTGTGAACTTGTCTCTAAGGGGGAGAGACAAGATTTCACAGTAAATAATGGAATTTTATTCTA